AGCTGGCCGCCGCCTCTCGCCGGGCTCTCCGGTCACACGGGGCTGCCGAAATGCGGCGTTCAAAAAGCGTCCGCACCCCCTCTCTCCTCCCTGTAAAAGCACATAGTTAGCCCAAAGCTCGAAAAGGCTGTTGATAACATCAATCCCTCCTGGCTGGTACAGCTGCACCAATACACCTTGTGGATTCCCCTCTCGTTCGGTTTTTCCTTTGCCCCCTCGCCCCCGTGGGGACCCCGGCCACCGCCCGCCCTTGCGGGTCACCCGGGATGGCACCGCCGCCATCCCGCCTCCAGGGCAGTGCAGCTGGGCCCCGATACTCCTCCACTGAAACGGCAAATCATCCCCCCTCTCAAAAGCCAGTGGCTCTGGAAAGATGTCTTCTTCATTATTTTTGCTCAGAGATGCAAAATACAGTTTTTTCCTTGGCCGTAAGAATTTAGCGGACCAAATTCATTAAAGAGGTTTGCGTTCTCCAATCCCGTGGGACAATTGTAATCGATTGTGAAATGTTGTTTGACTTGGCAGTGTAACACAGTGGGGATTTGACTCATCAAGATGTAAATTAAGAGTGAACAGAGAGAAAATGTTTCCCTGCATACATCTGAATGTATATTTCCTCCTTTTAATAGATTAATTAATATTGTCTCTCAGTCATAAATTAATAAGTGTTCTAGAGTGAACTGAAGGAAGAGTAAGCAAAATGATTAGTGTAATAAATGGCTGATGTATGGAGAAACCTTCAGTATCTCTAATGTACATCTGCTTAGATAGAAATGAAAGTATTTGGGTGATGAAATGCATGTGCTTGTGGCTTTGGAGATTTGCAATGTGCAAATGTAATAGTACTGCTCCTGCTGAAGTGCTCACCCATACTAGCAATGCTCAGTGCTTCAGTACGATGCTAGGTGCTGGTCTAGAATTCAAACTAGTTTTGAATTGTTGCTTCAAGGTATGCAAACTCCAGAGAGAAATGAGATTTCAGCAGCTTCACATGTCTGGCCTGTTGTATTACCTGACTCTTTGTGGTTTAATGTGCAACTGTGTATTTATCACTCTTCTGAGAGTCCAGATTTTCTCATGGATTGCACAGCAAATTGAAACACTTGATTTGGAAGTGTGTATCCTACCTTAGATGCCAGATCCCTGATCTGTCAGTATCTAGCTAAAGGTAAAAATTTTAAGATGTTATATGAAAAGGAAGCCTTGTCAGTCTAAAATGATATTCAGAAAGAATTTGCTAATCAAAAGCTAGTTATATAGCTTTGGTAAATATGGCTTGGCTTTTTTTTCTTTTTTTCTTTTTTTTTTTACAGGTCATGTGAGTGGCTCAGCAATGTGTGACACTACAAAAACTGTAAGTTAACACAATCAACACATGGTTTACACACAACCATTTCTGGTACACATTGACTATCTGTAATACAGATCTCAGAAAACAGACCAGCAACACCTAGTTCACTTCCCAGAAGTATATTTATGTCAGAAACTTTAGTAAAGTTTTCCACATGAGAGTCTTATTCACCTGAGAGCATCTTGAATTGTTTGGTGCTTGGGTAACTCACATGGGACCATAGGCCTGGATCCCCAAAGATCATCTGGGGTCCTTGGGCATCTGACTCCTGTTTAAATATTTTTGCTGGGCAGTAGGAGGTAAGTATCTGAATAGCTTTAGATTCTGAGCCTCATTTTTTTCTTAGGCATTACATCAGAGGTCTCTTATTGTACCTGTAAATGTGCACTTGCTAGAAAATAACCTTGGATAAGAATATCCTATTTCTAATGAACAGATTTCAGCTCTTCTGCTCTAGTGGCCTGCACTGCACTGCACTGAGTTCCATTTTGTCATTGGCAGGAGGTGAGAGAGTATTTCATCAGTAAATCTCTTTGCTCTTGAGAACAGGAAAATAGCATAAGTCTGTTGAAAGGGATCCTCTAAGGTTAATTCCATACATCTTAATTTGGAAGGAAAAAAAACCCTCTCAGAAACAGTGGAAGAAAGTATGGGAGGAAGTGAAAAAAAAAAAACCAGTGCAAGAGCACAGCAAGAATGAGAAAAGGGAGGCATATGTTTCAGATATCCAGGGGCATATATAAATCAATATATAGCTAGACAACTTATATAATTGTCTCAAAGCTTGTATTATAAATAGGAGAATAGAGAGACTTATTTCTGGGGACATTCTCCTGAATAAGGTAAGTGGAAGTTTTGTGCTTAAGAGAAGCTAGTTCTAGCTGCAGCAGAACCATTCACTAATGCAGTGCCACTCAGAAGGACTTATCTGAGAGCCGTTATTATGTCTTTATAACAATAATTTTGAGGAAGAAATGAATTTCCATTTTTGTAATTAAAATAGTTGGTTTTATTGTAGTTTTTCTTTGATTTCTAAATTTGAATGGCTACTGCAGAACAGGTATGGTACATACTATATGTCTGACTGGTTGGCCTATCTCCACATCCCAGCTGCTTGCCTACCTCACGCCAAGTTTGAATGAAGTAATGGGTCTTATGTTGTCTCCCAAAACTCAGCAGATCGTGGGTCAGTCAAGGGATTCCTATCAGGCACGAAGGATGCACAGGAGCCTTCCCGCAACAATGGATTCTAGTCCAGAAACTCTCACCAAGGAACTGTAGTTCACAGTACTCTGTCTGAATATGTTTTATCATGCAGAAGGCAATTACATGAAGATAGTTTAAAATATATGGGTTATTAATATCACATGGCTATGCGCACTAGTTGTATTGGCTGACTGAAGAAACAAGACCAGGCCAATTAGCAGAATTTATTTTTTTTAACACTAGCCTTGAATGTTGTCCCGCCAGGATCATTGCCCTCTCAGAGCTCTCTAGAACACATAAGTGCACTTTCCACCTTACTATGAAAGGCATCTACTGGGAAAGTTTGTGATTGTCTCTACTCCTTCCTTTTGGAGCTCTAGGTCTCTGAGGAAGGAAAATAAGCATGTCATATGAAAACCCCCTAAAGTTTGTGCTTGATATTTTAACTTCCCTTTGCAAGGCAGCTGCTGCTTTTGCACGTGTGGGAATCTGGTGAGACGTACAATCTTAGGCTGAGGATTTCTATTCACTAGGGATTAGCTGAACTGTTTTCCTAAATCAGTCACCAGATCTGGATTCCAAATTAACAAAGTGGTGCTGAGCAATAATGTAGACTGTAGGTAGCAGCTGTGCAAATTTATTCACTGAAAGCATTATAAAAGCAGGCTGTCTAACTGCCTTAGCTTTAGTGCAGTGAACTCTGAGCAGTAGCGAACTTACTGAATTTATAACAAGTAAAAAGCTCAGGTTCATTCAGCCCCAAGGTTGCTGAATGAGAAATGCTGGTCTTTGCACAATTACTCTAAATACAACTGCTCCCAGCAAAAAGTTTAGAAGATGCAGAATGACTGCATCCTGGAAAATAGAGGTAAAAGGGAACCCAGAGATCGTTGAACTTCTCCCTATGGCCTGATGATCTGCTCCCCTTTGTATTTTCCATTTGTCTAGCCTGTTCCTAAAGATATCCATGGATGGAGGTTTTACACACTCCTCATGCAATCGATGCCAGTGTTTAACCACCCCTCCTGCTGGAAGTGTTTCCTTGGCACGTCTTCTGCAGTCATCTGTGGACTAAACTGTGCCAGTCCTTTTGCATTTTCTTCACTGGTGTGCTATTTTTTTTTACTTCTCACAATTCTCTTTCTTTTCTGAACTCTGTCCAATTTCTCTTTCACTGTATCTCAGATTAGACTCAGTATTCCATCTAGGACTTTGCCACAATTCAAGTCTCCCAAGGCTATCTTACTCTTTACTCTTCCTATCCCACTGTGGGGTTTACTCTTCTTTAATATATTTTTTATTGCAACAGCACTGTTGAGTCAACCCTGGCTGTGCTCTGCTAACTCCTTTCTATGGGGCTGTTGTCTTACAACTTCTTGCCTAGACTTTATTTGTGTTGTGTGAAAGTGCAGGGCTTTCCATATGTCCTTACTTAAGTTTGCCACCTATTTTTAAGACTATTTCTCCAACTTGTCAAGATAATCTGAATTTCAGTCCTATTTTCCAGTGAGCTGATGGTCTCTGTGGGATTATCTGCAGTAATGAATAAGCATATTTTATCTTCCTTCATTCAGGTTGTTCATGGAAATATTGATAAACCCCAAATTTAGCATGGATTCCTGTGGAATTCCACTCTATATATGATTCCCTTTCAATAACTAACCACTGACAAATACTTCTAATGAAAGATTTCCCAGCCAGTTTGTACTCGTTCCATATCAGTTTCCTCTAAACTGTGTTTCTGTGTCTGAGGTAGAATAATAATACATGTCAGTGTCAAAAACAGTCAAGATATGACACCTTCTGCTTCTCCCATCTGTTATCCTGCCACAGAAGGAAACTAGATTCCACGTAGTCTTATCCAGAAAATGCCATATATGCTTAATTCAAGCCTTTATGAGGTCTGGAGCACTGGTTTTCAAACTGTGGCCTCAGGTGAAGGCTGGGCCTTTTAGGGGATGCACCAGCCTTCCTGAAATCAGACTGGAGAAGTGGGGCTCACAGGCTGAAGTACATCTGCTGGGTTACTGTGGTGTCACAGTCTCAGCAGTGGGACTGCTGGAGCAATCTCATGTGAGATAATGCCCTTGAGCATTTTCCATCTGTCTTTTCTACAGGTGAGCATGGTTTCTTAAAACACCAGTGCTTGTGCCAAGTAACGTTCAGATGCTATTTGCAGCAAAATAGTTGGAACATTCAAAAAAAACCCACCAACATTGAAATATGACTTTCATTCGGATATGAAATGAAAATGCACAGAAGATGACCTGCAGGGCAGAAGGGAGAGATACAGCTTGCAGCCAGAGATCTGAAACCTGCTGTAATTAACTTGATCATCACTAGCAGGGCATGCCAAGATGAAACAAATATTAGGGAATACTTGGTACACATTAATGTAGTTTAGAGCTAAACAGTGTGTACCATGTCACATTACACTTCTTTATGGTCAGTAGAGAGAGGTAGGTACTTTGAATATATAACTCATCTAGTCTATTTTAGAGAGGAGCTGCATCCATAAATACCCAATTGTGCAGAGCATGATCTGACAGGTAAGATGTATTTTATGTGTCTAATGTCAAGTTATGCAGGGTTTTTTTGTTGTCTTGTGTCAGGTGCATAACAAAACACGTCTGTTCTCTCAATTCTTATGGAAAGAGGGGCAATATCTCCACATTTGGAATGTGCCATTAGTTTGAATTTTAGGAAATCTTGATAGCAACAGGGCTCTATTTAAATATGGAATATCTAAATTATCTGATTCTAATACCAAATACTTCTAGTCAGCTTAACAGATCACTTCTGTCATAGATGCCATCATTCCTCTTGTTGCCTGGTTAAGAACTGCAGGTTTAGATGAAGTCTCTCCTGGCTGAAAAAGTCTTAAGAAAGAGGATGGCTTTATGGCTCACATTAGAAAATTCCTGTTAAGAAACTGCCACTGAGTTATCTATGTGACATGGAAGTTAATCTCAATAGATTCATAATGCAGATTTACTGAATAATAATAAACACCTGCACAGATACTTAGAGTGTAAATCCAACATATTGTTTCTCTTTGTTTGGTTGATTCAGATAAGTTTTCTCAAAGTGCCTTGTCTAGACAAATCCTGAGTATGTCTTTGATCTGCTAACAGAGATAAACTGCCAGTGTTACTGGATCTGTGGATCTGGGTGGCAAGTGTCACTGGTGGAGTTCTAGAGGACAGTGCCTGTCCCAGAGCCACTGGCTTCTACATTGCTACTTGAGGGGTTATAGAAGCAAAATAATGGCATTGGAATTTTAGTGTAATTTGAGAGATCTGATGACTTTTTAAATATATAGGGTCACAGTATTAAATTTGGTAGCATGTTTTCTACTTTTCAAAGCTTGGTATAGAAACAACAAAAATGCTGAACAGCAGTTTTTAAGGAAGTTTTGCCAAGGCACAGAGAAGAGACATTTTATGTGTCCATTTACAGCTGTATGTGAAGTATGAGACACCGTTTATGTGTGAAATCTCCCCTGGTCTTCTGTGATGCAAATAAGAATGTTCATCCTGAAACTGAACTGGGAAATTCAATTCAATTCTAAAGTTTGGTAAAAATGCCCAAGAAACAGAAAACAGTAACATGATAATTAATTTCAGGAATTATTCAGGAAGAAGCATAGGCAGATGAAGCCACAAATGTAAAAGAACACTTGGCTTTAAAATGCTAATTTCCAAGTTTATACTTCTCCTCCCAAACATCACTTTGTTGGAAGGCACTGTATGATTGCTGTAGGACCCCACAGAAGTGGTGGGTGTATGCTCGGGCCA